GAAAATGTTTTGAGAATGATGTACAAGTGCGCTTTACACAATTGATGTGTGTATGGATTGTGATAACAGTTGTATGAGCCCCTAATAAAATGCTAAAAAATAAAATAAAATAGAAAGAAAAAAACACAAACAATATTTAAAAAGTCAGATAAGAAATTTGTTGTGGAAATGAGGAATATTTGAGTCTAAAGCAATTATCATTTATACCATGGTTTGATCCACCAAAATTGCATTCCCTTAAAGATTGAAAATAATGCAACTTTTATTCAGCAGACAGATAAAATGTGAAGAACGATATTAGATCTTAGAGGGCCTACATATATGTCAAAAGAAGTAAAACTTTCGGAGGATGCTATATAGTGATCATTCTGTCAAGAATAAAGGACTCAAAAAGTTTATTTTTGAATATAAAAAGTATACATATGGAACTAGACTTAAAATTTAGATCTAGACTGAAATGAATTCATGTAGACTAGAGTGAGTGAAAAAGTTGTTAGAAGAAGAGAGTCACATTCCAGGTTATTTCATTCAGTGATTTTTATTTTAGAAAACATATCAAGTCAAAATGGCTAAAGAATTGCTTCCGTGTTCTGTGTATTTCTATCTTCCACTTGAAAAAGCATACGGCCAAATTCATCCATTCTCTTTATGAGGTAAGCAAAAAGGATCGCTGGTTACTTCAAACCAACCTATAGAAAAAACCACATACGTTCACTTAAATAACAGATTTACACAATTTCTGTGATTAAGATGAACTCCCAAAAAGCAAAGCTAGAAATTCACATAATCTGACAAGAATATTACCACTTACAGTGCTTTTTCTTAGTGGCTGATGAACAAAGGAATCCTGATTCTGACTTGACAAATGCGTATTCTTGTCATTAAAAATTAAAACCAAATTCTATTATTTTTTCAGAAGACCAATTTTACTTCCAAAATTTACTGTGAGAGACTAGAATTCTAACTTTCTGGAATTTGGTCTCTCTAGAACAGTGGTTCTAAACCTTCCTAATGCCACAACCCTTTAATACAGTTCCTCGTGTTTTGGTGACCCCCCACAACTATAAAATTATTTTTGTTATTTCATAACTGTAATTTTGCTACTGTTATGAATCGAGCTACCCCTGTGAAAGGGTCGTTTGACCCTCAAAAGGGTCGCAACCCACAGGTTGAGAACTGCTGCTCTAGGGGGTGGCATAGTGGTGTAAGTTGGGCTGTGATCTAAAAGGTCAGCAGTTCAAAACCACCAGTTGCCCTCAAGAGAAAGATGGGGATTTTCTACGCCGTAAACAAGCAACTGTCTCAGAAACTCATGAGGCAGTACTACTCTGTCCTTTAGGGTCACTGTGAGTCAGAATCAAATTGATGGTGGTGCGTTTCATTTGGTTCCAGGTATTATAAGAGTTATTAGTCCGGGGTTCAGAGGGAGGGGGAGCGGGGAGGGAGGGAGGAAAATGAGCTGACACCAGGGGCGCAAGTGGAAAGTGGATGTCGTAAGAATGATGAAGTCAACATATGTACTAAAGTGCTGGACACAGATGACATATGTACAGATTGTGATGAGTTGTATGAGCCACTAATAAAAAGATTTTTCAAAATAAATAAATAAATAGAGGAAAGTTATTAAACTTATAGGCCCATATTTTTTACTTCATCAAGATCCTTCTCACACAATAACCAACACTTTTTCCTTTCCTTTATCCCTGAGTTTCTTTTTTAACATTTCAGTTAGACATTTAGTTTAGTATGTGGAATAAACAATATATAGAAATAGTCTATATTTTATTATTCTTAAAATGAATGAGGAGTAAAGATATAATTAACATTAATGATAATATAATTTAAGTAACTGGTATTTCATTTTGTCAGAAAAACTACTTAATAAAAACTAGAGCTAAGAAAAACACTTTTGGTATATACTATCACATACACACAAAAAAGCCATTTTATCAAAATGCCCAAACAAAATTTATCTACCATACAGACTCGAGTATAAGCCGATCCAAATATCAGCCAACGCACTTAATTTCACCACAAAAACTGTATTAAAATATGCTGAAAAACTCGGTTTATACATAAGCATAAATGGTAACTATGTTCTTCCTCTTGGACTCTAGGCTAAAATTTTAATAAACTACAGAATTTTTATTCAGATTCATTCAAATTGATCATCTTTTTCCAGTTTGAGAGCATTAATGTGGTAGTTACATAATCTGTTTGCCAATAAGAGGATTAAGAATGAAGGGGTGATATGACAAAATACCAATTTATAGACTATCGGGGGCTCATGGGGGCGGGGCGGGGAAAAATGAGGACCTAATGTCAGGGGTTTAAGTGGAGAGAAAATGTTTTAAGAATGATGTACAAATGCGCTTTACACAATTGATGTGTGTATGGATTGCGGTAACAGTTGTATGAGCCCCTAATAAAATGTTAAAAAAAAAAAAGAATGAAGGGGTGCAGACTAGTCTGTTAATCAGGTCATAGCCAATAAAGGCCTCTATGTGGGCATGGCCTTCTGAGGATTCTGGAATTTCCTCCTTGGAGGTGCTACTCTCTCTGCTCACTCCCTGAGAGACATTCTACTGACAAGACACATGGCACTACGCTGATAGTCCCGTGTCCTGGGAACTGGAGGAGCCACATGAAGGCCCCTGCCAGCACTAAGATGCTTCTACCGCCACTGAATGGTGCCACAAGACTTTGCACCCACTGGCCCGTGGTCTCCCTGCATTCAGCGTCATTGTATGTGTTTTGCTGAGTCTGAAGACATCTTTACAGCTGGGTATTGGACATATGGCCTAATATCGGACTTTTGACTTGATCTGGACTAGACTGGGATGTTTTCTTAATATACAATTACTCTTTGATACAAAGCATTTTCTTACACACGAGCATCTATGAATTTTGTTTCTCTAGTCTACCCGGACTATAAACCGGTTCTATCTTACAAATCTGGCTAGACCAGAGCAAGTACACTGGTCTCCCCGGACTTGTTTCTCTAATCTACCAGGACTAACACAATTAGTATTTCTATATACCAAGGGGAGTTTCTTTTCTTAAAAAAAAAACCCAAAAAAAAACCCTTCGATTGTGCTTTTGATGGTTTACACCAGGGGTCCTCAAACTTTTTAAACAGGGGGCCAGTTCACTGTCCCTTGGACTGTTGGAGGGCTGGACTATAGTTTCTAAAAAAACTATGAGCAAATTCCTATGCACACTGCACATATTTTTTTTCCTGGGCAGGCCAACAAGGCTTGAGTGACTGATCAATAGAACTGCCAACGTCACTCTGTACAGAGAAAAGAGGGGGGTAGTTTATTTCTTGGTTTCTTCCTCCTTGGACAGCGTCTTGATGATCTCTTTCTTGTGTGCCTCCTTAGTGTTAGACCTACAGGCCTCAACATGCTCAGCCAGGAGCTTCTTGCCAGCCTTGTCTGCCTTCATCTTTTGAATGTGTTCCATGAGAATTCGCTTGTTCTTAAACATGTTCCCCTTCCCCTTCAGGGACAAGCTGTGCTACATATGGCGGTCAATGTTCTTGGACTCCCGGCATCTCCTGAGCAGCCAGTGCAGAATCCTCATCCTTCTCTTCCATGTGACCTTCTCAGGCATGTGAGCATTGGCAGTACCCTTTCGCTTACCTGTGCCCATGCCTGCCCTTCTGGCGGGCTAGGGTGTCTTTGCGGCACCGAGCCCGAGAATGGATGGTCACAGGCTTGCGGATGATAAGGCCATCTTTGATCAGTTTCCAGGTTTGCAGACGGGAGTTGGCATTGGCATTTTCATTGGTCTCGTTGGGGTCCAACCAGACTTGCTTCTCGCTGCAGTGGAGAACGCTGGAGGGGAGCTTAGTCTGAAGCCTGAGCATACTCATGGCTGCTGCCGCAGCACCAAAAAGCACACATCTTATTTTGAAGTGAAAAAACAAAACGGGCAAAAACACCCTACAGGCCGGATAAATGTCCTCAACAGGCCGCATGTGGCCCGCAGGCCGTACACTTTGAGGACCCCCTGGTTTACACAGTAGGTTCGGTTTCCACTCAGTGATTTCTTTACAAATTGTTCAACGACTGGTTACATTTTCACAACGTGAGGGCACAAAGATGATTTGCTAGTTTTCCATTAATTTGATTTCTCTTCCCCTTGCACTAAGTGACCATTGTGGTAAATTCTTGGTAGAGGCAAAAAAATGTTTTCAAATATTTAGAAACTTTAACCATATTATCTGATTTTGTGTTCTATATAAAAATGTACATTATGATAAACACTTTAGAAGCAAAGGCCACTGCATATTTTGACAATGATATCAGTTATTCTGCTATTACTTATTATACAATATACACATAATAAACAATCATACTATTTATCTATTCATTTTTCCACTGCTGGCCTTTGCAGGTTAAAAAGTAATTCCAGAACAATGTAAAGGTTTTACTTTGTGGAGAGCAACTAATTTTCAAAATACCTAAAGGCAGTGCATGGCAAAGGAAATAAAAGTTTAATTACGGAGGGATGCATAGAGAGAATGCAAATGAAAAAGGGGGCCACCCATGTGCACACTCAAACATAGTCTGGCGAAGATGAGAATGGCAACACAGGGAAATTAAGAATCATTGGCTATGGACAAAAAAATGAGAAATGCACACAAATATGCTGAAATGAGAGGTGCAAATTAGGGAGTCTGAAGACAACTAGAGAAAGCAAGTGGGTGAAAGGGAGAGGCATATAAGAGAGAAAGGTGATAGTGACCAGGCAGTTACAAGGGTCTAACTAAAAAGGAACAGCCAGTTGAAGAAAAAAAACCTTTCTGCACGTGTTTTTAAACCACATTTTCCTTCTTTCTTATTTATTTAAAACCACATTCTTTTGTTGTTATTCCTCTCCTAAAAAATGGTTAACCAATACTTATTTCACATTTCTTGTAGAATTTCACAGAACTAGGTTTATTGTTCGGAAGCAAAAATTTTTTTGCAGTAATTGAAGTCCACATATATCAAATATGCCAGGAAGAGAATTCTATATACTTTTAAGTATTAATCACTTTTTCTCTTTATGGAACAGTTCCACTCTAACACATGGAGTGGGGGTGGGGGTCATAAGTGGAAATTAACTCCATGATAATTAACAAGAACAAAAACAACACCCTCCCCACCCCTACTAAGAATGAGATTATCAAGGAAGGGGTGTGGGAGGGTGGGAATGGAAAAAAAAAAAAAGAATGAGATTATCCAAAGTGGGGCAAATTAAGCCTGATAAAATAATCTACTGACATTTATTATTATGAGTGACTTATTAACACTGGTATCAGATTCTAAAATTACTCTTCTTTATAATAGCTGAAAGTAACTTACCATTTACAGTAAAATTCCAGCAGTCTTAATAGTATTTCTGTCTCCTGACTCCTTGCTTCATTTGATAGCTCATGCTCTTTTTCCTATGTGGACTTTAAATCAGTAGCCATCAGTCTGAAGAACTCCTTCCTCTGCTACCACCTATCGGTTTATTTCTCTGCTGCAGCAGAAGGGTATATAGAAAATGTTCTTGCTTACTATTCAGATTAACCAGAAAAATTATTTTAATTTCTATTTATACATTTTTCTATTACCAACTTCCTCATGTCTCCCTAAACCTCCCCCAAAGAAGTTCCACCAAAACAAAAACAACACCCAATCACAGAAACCAAACAATGTATGATCAATGTTCATGCTGAACTGAGAGAATTTCAAAAAGATTTAAACATACAACCATCTCACAAAGCAATTTTCTTTCGTTATAGTTTCCATCGCCACCTTTTCCTACAATCCATGAATAAATATAACTTAAGAGATTTAACTAGTTGGTCTCCAACTCTGGCAAAATCTAAGTTCAGAGTCTACCAAAGGAACTGTGGAAAATGCAGCAGTATAAATGAGTAATTTTAGAAACTAAGAGTGTAAGGGGCTTTACCTTTTTGAGTTTTCAATGTTCTGGACTGCTTATTGCCCAATGGCTCTGAATACATTTAAACACGAACATAAACGCCACCTACATTTAAAATAGGGTAGCATTTGTATGCCCATATAAACACTGGGCATATTTTTTTCAAGAGAGTAATATATTGTTATTTTTAAAAAAGGTCTGACCATGAATGCACATTTCCTCCAAATGTAGACATACATACAAGAATTTAGGAAAAACAGGGAAATCGTTATAGGCGTTTTATGGGGAGCTGACAGCACATAAACTGTTCTGTTTGCTAAGATCCTGGGGTTCATTTCAATTTCCATCCTTGTTGTAACTGAGACTCAGTTTCAAAGTTCTGTATTAGCTACTAAAGACTAGTATCCAATAATGAACTGGTAATAGCAGTAATGGCTTGGCTTTGTTCCACCCTCCCATTACCTTCATTCCCAAAGAAAAACATGGACAGCTTTGCCAACTTAAAATAAGCACAATGACATAAACACCAAAGGCTAAAAAGCAGCAGTATGGCAGTTACATTGTTTCTCCTTTCTTTCTCATTCCTTCCCCCAATCTCACACCCCACCCTTTGACCTCTGGATATGGGATGAGCCTGAGCAGGAGTTGGTGATGTCAGGACTGCGCCGTTCCCACGGATGCTCCTAGAGGCCTGCTGTGCTTCTGGGAACTGGGGCACAGGGATGTCTGTCTGACTGTAACCTAAAACAACAACAGTTCACCCCACCCCTCAGGTTCCCAATCCCACAATAGCCATCATGTATGTATCCTAAATTAGGCCCTAAGAAGTTTGAGTATGATAAAATTTAACAGGAAGTTCATTTTAACAAATCAGTGCTATTTAATGGAGGCAAAAGAATGGCAGTTGGCAACCTCCCTATGCCTTATGCAATTATAATTTATACATTCTAATGCTGTTTCTCTAAGCAAGAGAATAAGGTTCTTCCTGAGCCAGCCTGTTTTCATAAAGTCCTGCAGAAGTCCATTTCCGGTTCCTTTCTTAATAAATTTCAGGTCAATAGTTACGTATTTTTTTCTGAAGATGCTTAGGTAAATGCCTGTCCTATCTATCTATCTATCTATCTATCTATCTATCTATCTATCTATCTATCTATCTATCTATCTACCTACCTACCTA